GGTTTGTTCCTTATATTTGTGTTTTTAAGCTCCAACGTAATCACTAGTAAAATACTTCTGTCATTGAAAGGGAAGCTCACATACATGTATTTGTTTTGCAATATTAATTATTACTTTTCTTAATTTGATTAAATTGGAAATAATTCATATGCCAAGCAAATAAAGCAAACTTTACAAACTTTATCTTAAATCACCAACAGTATACATGTAGTTCCGCCGAAATATGTCTGAAATATTGCCGACTCGGCATTAAACAATAACAATTAATCAGTCAATCCAACAGTATAGTGTATTTTTTTAAAAATTTTTTTATTTATTTATTTTTTTTTTGTAGATTATCAAGTTTTGGATATATCAACGCATAAAAATGACATCAAAAAGGGTAAATGTTATTGTTTCTGTGGATAAAATCTTAAATATTTGAAAAGTAATGCTTTCATTTTCTCACTATAGTATGAAAATGTACATCTTAAAAATATTTTTCTCAATCAATTATTTAAAAGAATATTTTTTTAAAGTTATTTTGGTTCATGAATCCGTAACAAGAGCTGAAGAAAACCTATAAAATATGTACATTTACTTCATAATTATTTTCATTTTATTGTCAAGACATCATAATGGTAGCAAAAGGCAAACACAGATTTTTATTTATTTATTTTTTTTTTTAAATATTAGTGATTGTTTGAAAATAGTAATAACTGGTGTGATTTTTGTTTTTGTTTAAATCAGAGGCAAAATCCACCAATGTGCCGTACATCTATATTGCTATTGGCTGTGTTGTTGTTTTGCTGATTATAATCCTCACAACGATCTTTTATTGCAAGTTTAAAAAGAGGTAAACACTTTTCAGAATTAGACATCTTACGGTACGTTAACGGCGGATTTTGAACATTGTCTGCACTTTTAATTTCATAATTTTTATATAATAGAAAAGTCAAGACAGCTGGGGCCACATACAACGTAAGCAAAGAGGAAATTGGAGTGGAAATTCAGGATAACCTATATACATGTATTCCCCGTGTTCATCTTCATCAGTAGAATGAAGTGAAAAGTACCTGAATGTTTATTAATAAACACTGTTTAAAATTTAGATCTTAGCGATATCAAAGTCAGAACATATCACATATATAACACATGCATGTATTTAACACGATTTTTACATTAAATTGTGTTTTGATAAGTTACACATGAAATGTATAGAGATAACGAACAGTATTAGGCCCTTCAGGGTAACTGCAGTACTACGTTTGGCGAAGTTTTCGCTTAAAGATAATTAAAGTATATATATATATATATATATATATATATATATATATATATATATATATATATATATATATATATATATATATATATATATATATACAATTACTTTTACGTCATTTTTCACCAAACTATATCAGTTTGCCCTGCAAAAGAGCAGTACCGCAGTTACCGTGAAATGGTCTGTTATATGAAGGGGTTATATGAATGTTTAATAAGTAATCTCCATTCAGATTTTTATGGGAAATATTGTAACATGTATATCTTCAATGATTTTGATGACAATTAATACTGAACTGAGTGTATGAAATTTAGTGTGAAAATGAATTTTACCCCTCTTTAATGTATTGTATATTTTTAATTAAAAGAAATTGAAAGAAAATGGTTTTGTCTGATTATACAATGTATCATTTTTGTTTTTGTTTTTTTAAATTTTGCATTGTAGTATACATTCAATATAATCTTTAGATATTTCATGATTATTTGTTTCTTACATGTTCTCATGTAAAAGTGTGTATTTACATTTGTATTAAACAATATCAAGTTTTAATACTTTTGCTTTCTTTGGCATTGATCATATCAAAAAATGTATGTGAATTTAAAGAACCACAACCACTGCATTAGAAGAGAAAACATTTTGGGAAAAGGATTACAATGAAATATGTAACGATCAGTAATTTATAAACAGTAAACAGCTAAAAAGTCCATTGAAACAACACAAATCAGGATCAGAGCAAACACAGACATCTAAAAGATCAGAGGTGGGCTCAGGTGCCATGAGGGAGTAAGCTTGCCTTGTCGACTGGTCACACCTGTCGTGTGTTCCATGTCATGGCTGGCAAACGTAAAAATCCTCAGACAATTCATTGTTAAATAATGGTCTAACAATACTATATTATCATGCATTATAAATATGCAAGAAAAACTGACAACCTCAGAAAAAATATCACGAATAAGAAAAGCTATATAATGTATTAATCTATTGAATTGTGAAATAAAAAAAAATTCATACAAACGTTAAACCTACAGTTACATTTTGCTTTTCTGAAATATCTAAATCTGAAGAAGAAATTGTTTTTAAAAAAAATTTGAATTCAAATATCATCATTTTTAAAAATCTTCTATGGTGTCGCGGAGTAAAAGTTTGACTGTTGTTTAACGTACATTTCGAGAATTTTCATTAATATAGATCCTCACATCGCAGGTTCGAATCCCACTGTGGGACGTGGAGACCGGTCCTTCGAATGAGACCGTATGAATCGAGGTCCCGTGGTGCAGTAGATGCTGGCACGAAAAAGAACCCTCACTGCTCAATGGCCCTTAGTGCCGAGTATAGGTCAAAGTTTGCAGCTGTAGCGTTTTTCATACTAATTGTTAAGCCATTATTTACACACTGAATTGTCGATGGATTTTTCTGTTGTTTCTTAATCATGACAGGGAGCACACGGTGGGTGTGACCGGTAGGCAGGGGATGCTCACTCCTCCATGGCACCTGATCCCACCTCTGATGTTTTGGAGGTCTGTGTTTGCTCTGCTCCTATTTTGTATTGTTTAATGGACTTTTGAGCTTGAATACTGTTCGTTATCTCCATATATTTCATTATGAAATAAAGTGTTACAATTCAGTCTCCATACAAATATTCATTTTAAAAATAATTTACTTGATATTGTGAGAAGCTATCATATTTTCAGGTTCCTTTCGGCATTTCTTATCTCCTATGCATTTGAAATTAATTTATGTAACCTTTACACAGCCACAACTGCCCAGCACAAATCAATCACTTTAATTTGTGTCCTTAGTTACTTCATTTTAATTTAAAACTATTTAAAGAATCTTCAATGTCATGTCATATTAACTTCTTTCAAATGTTTCCATATGCATGTGCATTCCCCTGTATTCCTGTTATTTGAGATACAATAAATATCGTTACCTCAATGTCCACTTTTCAATAACTTTCTATTCTTTTGATGAGTTGCAAAGATGGCTTGCACAATCAGTTATCTTCTAGCACTTGAATGAAAAGAGAAGCCATTTTTTTAACACTTCATGATATATAATGGAAATTTTTGATATGAATAAGTTCAATCTTTAATAATTCTAAAGATAACCACGTCTCTAAAATTGCATTGGCACTGCAAGTTTAACATGATAACGTTATCTTGTATTTTTGTAATGTGGAAAAATTAACGATATATCCACCAAAAATTATTTCATGACTTTTAACTGCATACGTATTTATTTTTAATTCGCAAGTTTTATAGGTAATATATTTCAGTCTTCCGACCGATAATTACAAATATATATAGATGTTAACGTGATTGTGTGACTTACAAGAATTTCCTCTGTCCTTTAATGAACACTGAAATTTACCTTTGTATGCATTGTTTTAAAAATAGGGTTTAATGCTTAAAATTATATGTTACTTTTTCTTTAATTTTCAGATTCTATAAAGTAATGCTTGGTATTGATAAGTCCGTATGTGTTGAGGGTGGAGGGAGGACTTTTTCACAGTATGCATATATTTTTGAAATATCCTACACAATAACATTATGTAATTTTTGTTTTTTATTGAGTTTGATCGATATCGATTAATTGTTTTTATTATAAGATTTATTAAACAGTTTTCCAAATTATAAATGCCATTTGTATATTAAATTATTGATTGTGTGATTTTTCAATTCATTTTGTGGTTCCTTCGCGAATTCGGTTTGGAAATGACCGCAAATATTAGCACTTCGCGTGAGTCTTGCGCCACAGTTAAATTTGAAATGATGGAGAAACCTACAAGACATTGTTTTGTCACAAAAAACATAAACTAAATAAACGGTTTAGGGATTTTAATTCCAGAATGAAATATGGTGTTAGCTCAATGAACAATAATTGGCAAATTGATTTGTAAAGGATCGGAAAAGACAAACCAAGCCCTACGAATCTATGCAATAAAACTTAATTGCAAATGTAAATTAACTGATAATATGTAAATTTTTTGGAGTAGGTGTGGCTAGTTCTCCTGTTTTGATAGAGTGGGATTTGAGCTTAGGCAAATTACATTGATTTCATGGTTAAAGTTGACCTTGATTGGGGGGGGGGGGTGTAAGTGATCCAATAAAAAGTACTGCATTTATATTAACTAAGACCATGAATACTGTCTGAGCACAAAAAAGCCTTATCAGCTGGAAAAATCTTTAATTTGAATATTTTGGCTTTTCAACTTTTTTGGCTTTTATATAAATTTTACATTCTCTTTTTGATAATATTTTAAACTTTTATGATGACTAATTTGTTATTAAAAGTAATAAATATTAAAAAGCTATACGATAACAGGGTGTTTTATGAACTTCTGAAGACATACAAATATTGGTTTTTGTAAATTCAAAAATAAAATTGTTATTTAGGAGTTAAGGTTGATATCATCATATATTTCCAGTTTAAAATGCAGACTGTTACGTTTAAACATACCTTTGTAGTCAAAATAAGCCTCTTATCTTATCATGCAGATAAACCTAATATAGGGTTCATGTGCTAAAAAAGTGAACACTCGAAAGAAAGCTAATTTTTCATTGGTTGAAATTTCCTTCCAGGTTTTTATTTCGCAAAAGATAAGGATTGAATATCTTAAAATCGATTAAGGTTTTAAAACTTGTATCATAACTAAGCAGTTGCAAGAGTATCTGTCACAGATACTTGTTATTCAAGTTATAGCAATATCAGTTACAAAACAGAGAACAGATAAAAAATGATATTTGTTATATTGATTGCTCTTCTGCAAGTAAGTGATGTTTTAAGCGGAATAAATCCTGATTGGACAAGATGTAAGTGTCGATGGGACAACTGGCAAGCATGGTCATCTTGTAGCCAAACTTGCGGTGGGGGATATAAATATCGGAGCAGAAAGGTTTACTTGCTAACATCATGTCCCTTTAAGTTTGAAACTTGTGCTACATCCGACATGGGTAGTGATCATGGTTCTTGCAATCAAATTTGTTATAATGGAGGTACCTACAAAGGGCTTGGATGTTCTTGTAGAGACGGATGGTATGGGCAGTGTTGTTCGCAGGGTAAGCAGTTGTTCCTTAATTTTCCAGATATGAAAATATTATATATTTCGGGGATATTGGTTGCATTTCCTATTCTCTGTACTTTTTGGTGTCGAATATTGACACCAAACGGCTAAGATATTGTTTGTAACTTTTACATGTTTAATTGTAAAATCTTTAAGTAACTTTTTTTATTTCTTTTATCTCAAATTATGTTTGCTGTTCGAAATATTTTTAACTTTATGCACGAAAAAAACTCCAAAATTTACCATTCCAAAAAAAAAATCGCGGGCTGTTCAGAATATTCGCGGATTTCTGTCATAACTTTTTTTTTACATAAAGTCATATGACATCCAAATTTGATAGACATGTTCTAACAATAAATTGGAATGGTCTGAATTTAAACTATCAAATATATCATGATATTTTTCAAACTTTTAAAGACATTTAGAACGGAGATATTAGGATCACGAAACAGATCAAGATTTAGAAATTTACAAATTATGCACTTGAAATGTCTGTAGTAATATCTCTGTTAAATGGTCTTAAAACAATCGAGACGTTCATAGTAGGGATTTTTATATGCCAAATTGTGACTTCGTAGTTTGATTACTTGAAAAGAAATTAATTACAGAAGATAGGTACTTCTGGCTATAAAATTTTGTGTTGCACCAGAGAAAACTTCAAAATAAAAACCTCTGAAAATGCTGGAGGGAAGCTAAAATGAGATGCACTTCTGTGAGTAAATGGCACAGGGGGTATTTGAGTGGTAGAGAGTCTGTTTCACTTAATATACGGTCTGTTATGAAACGGATTATCGGTAAAAACAGAAAGAATCAATAACGTCATGGAATGAGATAGACTCTTCACTGTAAGCAGAATTACGCAGTTATAAAATGAAATTACTGACAAACGAACTTAAGCTACTAAAACCATTGTTGGAAAGCTCAATGCAAAGTGGTGCAGAATTTTTAATTAGTACACATAGTTATAGGACAGTCTGGGTAATATGTATAGGGAGAGTATTTTTGGGAAACTCATTATGTTTTTGACGTTACAGTGTTGTTAAGTCTCCTTCATGGTAATAAATCATGTTAATTTTAGAATTAAATAACATAAGCAATATAAATATAACTAAATATGATAATGTACTGATTTTAGATTTCATGAATATAGCAAAGACTGACACTTTCCATAAACTTTTAGAACAACCTTCATACAAGACGACGACATTCCCCGCCTTTCTCAATTAAAAGAGTGCATAGAAAAGTTATATTTTTTCCAATAATTTTGTTGTCATTATCATCTTTCACACATTTGATTCTTATATTTCCTTCAATTATTTATTGACAATTTATTTTTCAGTTATGTTTTAAGGTACAATGTATGTGGGAAAAGAGCAGCCTCATGCATGATTCGATCTCATTGTTAATGACTACGCTACGCATTCTTTTTCCTTGAGTGTGTCAGTGTTATTTGTTGAAGGATATCATTTTTCAAGAAATTTTCAATAGAATGGGTTCAGACTCCATTGTTATGATATAAAGAAAAGATTTACATGTACATTCATTTTTTCGTCAATTAAGCGTTTGTGTAGAATGGAGACTTGACCATTCATATTTTAAAAATCACTTTAAAAATTACTCTGATAAACCCATTTCCCACTAAATATGCTTTAACCGTCAACTCAAAAAAAATTGTCAATCAGTAACTTACTCTAAAAAATAATTAAATGAATAAAGTGTGTTAAAGATGACATAACTGACAAAATTATTTATGAAAAATAAAATGTATTCATGAACTTTGAAAATCCTACTAGAAATATGTTGCCTCAGAGCGGGAAATTAATTGTCCTCGCCTTGTACGCCTCCATTCTTTGTTTTCTAAATGTATTTATATCTAGACGTCAATCTCATCAGAATTTCACAATACTTCAGAAGTGCCATATAAGGCACGCAATATGAAGAGGGATGGCAACCCAACCAACATTGAATAAAATTCTCCTGTAACTTTTTGTTGCAGTATGGTCGAACATGATTTTCAGTTTTGTTGAATGATAAGTGCAATTTGATAGTTTTCTAATTTCAAACTGATAAGGAACAATTTTCTAGAAATAGCTTGCCTCAAACTCAAAAATTATCTAATATTCAGGAGAAATAATCCTGACAGCATAAATGTAGTGTAGTTTGTTTTAATAAAGTAGAAATTAGTTAAAAAGAAATTACTGTAAAATATTTTGTTTTTATGTTGGTTAAAATGGATATTTAGATTATACACTTGTAGTACAGTGTAGTTTGTTTTAATAAAGTAGCAATTAGTTAAAAAGAAATTAATGAAAAATATTTTGTTTTATGCTGGTAAACATGGATATTTAGAGAACGTGCCGGTTGTTCAAGTTTATGAATTATTTACTGTATTCATGTTGTCAGACGTATATTTAAAAAAACCTTGAACTCCAAACATTCACTGTTCTTTCTTATATTTACATTTTAAACCTATCACATATATTTACTATTCCAACATTGACTCTAATGACATACACTGAAGTAAACCAAAAGTCACGTGACGTTACAAACTGTACAAGATCTTAGCATTACACCGGTTTCTCACCGTATTCGGATATTATTTAAAACTCATACAATTTCATAGATGCAAAAGTCATTTCTTATAAAATTAGAACTTAAATTTGAGTTCTCATATTTTGCTTTCTCTCTTTTTTAGAAGTAACCTGTGGAAACCCTGGTTCCATAGCCAATGGTGCTGTAGTAGGATCAGAGTATACATACATGAAGACAGTAAATTATGTCTGTAACACTTATTACAATCTTACTGGAGGATCCGCATCTAGAACTTGTTTACTGTCTTCGTTATGGAGCGGAATCAAGCCAAGATGTGCTTGTTAGATCAAATTCTAAAATATTCAATAACAATGTACAAATTAAAATGTAGCTATATTAATAGAGGATATATTCCCATCCAAGTTTCATAGAATATTCTTTATTCTTAGCCCCAGGTTTTCCAGTTGAAAAGAAATAGCATTTGCTCTCTCTGTATAGGTTTCTATGGCTGTTCATAGTTTGTCAAAGTACACTGACTCTTGCAAATTGACTGTACTTCCATAAATTCAAGATCATTTTTCCAAGGTCATTGGACAAAAATTAGTAACCGAAGTAAAATAAAAGATCTCGGTCTCTTCATCTTGATCCATACATCTAATTAATATGATTTGATTCTTAAAATTTAATTTGTCTTAATGGAACATCGAACATCTATAAAACCGTTCATTTTATAATGTCATACTCAAATAAAACACAGTATTTACATGTAGGTCTCTACTCGGGCTAAGTGTCTCGTACTAATAAAAGAATGTCAAATTTTAATGATTAAGATCAATGCAGGCAATTTATTAAATGTGCCTTAACAGTGGTGGATAAGTGAAGGTATTTTTCGTCGGCTCCTCTTTTTCATTTTCTCTTCTAAAAAAAAACCCATTCAGCTAATATTTTTTTTTAAACATGTTTTATTTATTTGTTCACCAATCGATCTGTGCGAATTTCATTTACAGTTATAAACTCTTGTGCTAGTAATCCTTGTTTGAATGGCGGTACTTGCAAAAATGGATTGGATAGATACGATTGTTTTTGTACACCCAGCTTCTCCGGACTTAACTGCGAGAATGGTATAATTTTTACTGTTAATCACATTAAAATTAACTATGAATCAGTTTCATTTTTGCTGCAGTTATACTTCTGTTACAGTGTATGATTTACCAATCATAATATTTACAGATATTCAAGCACCTGTTGTACGGGGTTGCCCCGGCAACATAACTTCTTACTCTAAAAATCACAATATATTTGTGAATTGGACAGCGCCAGTTTTTTCCGATCCAGTAGGAAGAGATATAAGAGTAACAACTAATTATCCAGAAAACAACTGGAATTTCCCATGGGGTGATTTTATGGTACAATATACCGCACTGAAACCTTCCAATGGCCTTCAAACAGACTGCAATTTCAGCATAAAGACGAGACGTATGTATTATAAGTGGATATCTTGACCAATGTCTTAAAACTTCCTCACTAAGAGTATCTTATAATTTATGTTTTGTATTTTGCACAGCCCATCCATGCCCTGATCTGGTTGCACCAGCTAATGGTGCCTTAGTTTGTAATTCTTGGAAACATGATTATGGTCGTTTTTGTCTTTTAATCTGTGGAGAAAATCACCGTCTGGAATTAGGACATGATCAAAATCAGTGGTATGTTTGTGGAGCCAGTGGTAGATGGACACCAAGCCAAGAAGTTCCAAACTGTACAGGTATTATTTTACCACCACCAAAATAAACCCTGGATTTTCCTAAGGATTCTATATTATATAAATCATTGATATTTTAAAAGTCAACATTATTTTTTGTTTATTTGTAAAGGCCATATTTTGAAACATCTAAACATAAAGATAAGATAAAGCATAAACTCTGTCCATTCGTTTTTTTTTTTTTAATTTTCCAGATCTACTTCCTGGAATACCTCATCATAGAGTGAATAACTTCCGCTTTGTTTCCTGTGAAGATGAACAGGAAAAAAGAAAGATACAAAGCATGTTTATAACAAAGCTAAAAGGTTCAAATTATGAGTACTTTTGTGCGAAATTTGCGGAGGAATGCAAAGAAAGTAACGTCGACATTAAATGTGGGCTTACGTGAGGATACCATCAATCACTATTCAGATCCTTGTAATTACATGTGATTTGCAGAAACATTTATTTGTATTCAATCATCGCACATTTATTTTCCAAAATATATAATGTATCCTGTTTTTATCATTATATCATTCGTTTTAGTATATAGTTTAATTTTTTTTATTCGGAGTATTTAATTTGTTTATATAATTTCCTTAAATGTTTACATTGTACAATAAAAAAAAATCAGACCCCCCCCCCCCCTGTGAACAATGCTTCTCCATGTATTGATAGAGATCACTAATTCATAATAATTTCCCCATAATGATCAATTATTTTCATGAATATGATTAATTATATATATATTTTTATGATCAGTTATTATGGATAAAGTATCATGAAAAAAGTGATCATAGCATGTTTTCATATTTTTTCATTAATAAAAATAAAATCACGAAGAATGAAAAAGATGTGATACTGACCTACATGTAATAATATACTACTTATAAAAACTAACAAACAATAAAATAAAAAAAGGAATTTAGGTATAACTGTGGAAGAAGCACTTAAAAGTGTAGCTGTTAAATTCAGACCGTATGGTAAAGGACACTTTGCTTTGATGGGTTGAGTTAAGGGGGGCGGAGGAATGAAGTTACATTTAGGAATCACTGTCTAGTTTGTTCGGTATGCCAAGGCATTAACAACAGGTAAAGTGTGGGATAATTTGTGTAACGGGCGAAGCTCGTTATTCATAAATTATCCTACGTTTCCAACTGTCGTTGAAGTCCGAGACAAACCTTACAAACTAGACAGTGATTCCTTAAATTTACATTTATGTGTGAAGTAAGAAAGTGATATAACTCAAAAAATTTACATACACAAAGCATTCCATATTAATTTCCATAGTATATCCATCCTTTGACATCAGACACAATGACGGCCCGGGAATTTGACATACATATTAGGCACCTGAAGGCTCGCTTTCCAAAATTTACATTCAGTTTTATAAATTGAGAAATTAACACACTTATTTCAAAGAGTTATCAAAGAGAAAACAGTTGGAAATGTAAACATAAACTTATAAAGGAACTGAGTTACATGTACTCATGCAGTAAAATAATATCATAATTATGCATGATATGCATAATACTTATATTCGAGGTCCTTATTCCGTGGAATCACAATTTCTGTCCAATGTGCGGTGTACAGGAACTTCCTTAAGGAGATTGGAACCGGCTATCAAAAGTAATGATAATTTTTTATCAAGTATATTTTTAGAATCTACACATACATTGTATACCTTAATTAAAAATCGAAACAAAAAATGGAGGTCAATGTGATTCTCTTGGCCAATGTGCTTCTACGGAGCATTTAGTATGACCTTTTTGCACTGTGATTACGTCTAAAACATAAATCAATTTTTTAGAGTTTTTCCTTCAATCTTTTTATTCAAATAAATTATGGGAACAAACACAGTCTTATTTCATATTGAATTGACACATTAAAATTTGTGACAACAAAAATGTTTCAAATTACTTCGCATGGTAAATTATTTGACCTTTCTGCAATCAAGAAATATTATTTTTCTGGCATTAAAAATTTAACAAGCAATAAAATCATTTGAAACTAATGTCATTTTACTGAATTTAAGAAGAATGGTTAAAAGTATCTTATATTTTCAGAAAAGAAAATTTAAAGTGGGGGTCTGTGTTATTTTTTAGATATTATTGAAATAGTGTTAATTTTAAGCTTAAATTTTGGGCTATTTTTTTTCTGGATTATCACAATATATTGGCTATATTTGTCAAATATGATGAAAGAATTCATGACAGTTTATTTAATATATAATTTAAGATATGCATAAAATAGTTCAAGGCACAAAATAATTATGTGTGCAGGCTGCATTGAAAAATAGAAACCCAAACTTAACAATACTTTAAATACTTAGAAGGAGAAAAATTATCATATTCTTCTTTAAAAAAACCTTCCGCCACAAAATATAGTTCCTCACTTTTGATAAGGAATTTAACTATGGGGTTTTAACTGAATATAGTTTAATTGGCATTGTAGAATCCAAATTTATTGTAAGAACTAAAACATTATGCAGAATTTTTGAAATAGGTCAAATTAAGATCTGCTCAAAAGCTCAGGAGCGAAACTCAGTCTTTAATTGCCATTCTCTGTTTTCAGTGCGCTTTCAATACGCTGTGTCAAATTTCTGCGGAAAATTTCTGATTTTGAATAAAGTGTAAATATGTCCTACGCGGAAAATTAAGTCTGCATTTTTTATATCATTACTGATAAAGAGTTTATAGCTTTGAATTGGCACATTCCCTATAACATCAGAACAGGTTTTGAAAGGCCTTTAGCACGGGATGTGTGCAATCTTAGTAAAAATAAAGGGAAGGTAGAAACTCCAGCGCTTGTTGACTCGTTCGAATGTCCGTGGACAGAGTAAATCTTTGTTATATTTAGGAACCTCAAGATCACCGCGAGTGTTCCCAGAAACGCATCTGTCGCGTTCAACAGAAGCCTTAACTAATGAAACAAAAAAAAAAACTTTTGTGTGTCCAACTTTGTATTTATTTGCAAAAGACTGGTGTACATGAAAAGAAATCACTACTGTATGGTACGTCGATCTTGTCAAAAGTATTTTTTATTTTAGACCTTGAACAAAAATTACACGAGTAAATAAAAACTTTTATCCCATGTTTACCCCTTTCTCCCGTGGATATGACTCATTGGATATTTTTTTCATATCCCACAGTTAAGTGCAGTTGTGACGTCACAACTGCACTTAACTGTGGAATATGAAAATTTATCCAATGAGTCATATCCACGGGATAAAGGGGTAAACATGGGATAAAAGTAGTTGTCTTAAATATATGGAACAAAAGTGTCGTGATTTCACAAATGTAGAAAAATTACATTATCTTTTATTTTAATAAAAAATAAATTCATTAAAAAAATGTTTAAAAATTTAGTCTTTATTGAAAAGGTAAAAAGCACACGAAGGAGTTAAGAAAATTTAAAATAGATTCCCTTAAATAAGCTTTTTAAACGTGGATTTTGTATAAAGTATGTTCATGGAATGTTACTGAAGATTATTTTCATTTTATAATACATTTTCCTTTTATCATGACCCTAAATTGAACTACTTGAAAACGTATTACTAAGAAATAGTATTGGAAAATAAACTTCTAAGCATACGAAATGTAAAGGGACTTTGTAATCTCGGAAAGTATTTGTCAAACCTCGAGCTTCAAAGAAAATGATTTATTTGCAATGTTCAAAAATTACAATAATTCCCCGATAAAACACATTCCATGTATTTCTATTTATTTTTTATGCTAATTCTCATATTATTACAATCTACAACATTGTATGTACATGTATTAATTTACTATGTTTCTGACGTGTCACATGACATAACATTTGAAACCACAGGAAATTGTGGACAAGAATCCTACCCCCCCCCCCCCATATTCAAGCCCAGTTGGCTTGGACTTTTCTTCACAAATTATATTTGTTACACTTATTTATTTATCATGTATACCATAAGAAAATCGGGAAAAAACGCAAAATAATCGATCTTAAAAAAATACCCCACTTAACATTATAAAGTAAAGTAGGGGTATTTATTGTAAAGAACGATTATTTTGCGTTTTCCACACGAATTTTTTCTGTTGTACATGTATACATGATAAATAAGTGTAATAAATATAATTTTTGCAGAAATTTCCAACAAGCCCCAGGGTTTATTTTTTTTTTTTTGGGGGGGGGGGGTCTCTCTACAAGTACCTGTGTTGAAATTTTACTAAATACACATATTCAGATGTTATTATATGAATAGAACTCTCGTCGAGCCATGGACCCTATTCGACACTGCATATGTGTTTATCCCATACAGTGTAAATGTTCTCCGTTTATTTGTTACGAAAACATATAATAATAATCGTCATTAAGAATGAGGTTGATATCTTGATCTTCATGTACAAAATAACTTTGGTATATTTGAGAATTGGCAAAGTTGTACTATGTTGAAAAGCAAAGTTTTTTGACAGTGCCCTGTCCACCGGGAACATATCTTGATTATACTGTAAGCAGATGTCTTGACTGTCCTATTGGAACCTACAAAGAAACAGAAGAAGGTGCAACATGTACAAAGTGCCCAGTGGGAAAGTCAACAGAATCAGAGGGCAGTTTGTCAAAAGCTGATTGTATAGGTATGGTAGGATATTAGCGATAAACTTCTATTACCTAGTTTTTTTATCCCTCTATTATAGTGCAGTGCTTTCCCATTCGATTTTACAATACCTCGTATTGTTGCTGATAAAAAAAAACAAATTGATACGGACGTTTTCCATCTGAAAGTTACAGAAATTAATCCATTTATTTTGCAAAGAAATTTATAAAATATTAAAGAATATTTTACATTCAATGGATAAAGATCGTTTGCATTTCATTGCGATTATTAAACGGAACGGCTTTATGGAAGCGAGTAGTAATGTCCTATATCATATTTCCATAGAGAATAATCAGCGCTTGTAATTCTTGGTTCCTCTTGCAAAACAACGTCCTAGGTCTCAAAATGTTGCTTGAAATATAAAATCTTCGTCTAAAGTTTCGGCTTTATATTTCAAAACAACATTTCTATACCTTCGGGGTTATCCAACAGCATAATATAGAATGCTTATTTTATTTCCAAATATTTACATTCACAGCTGAATACTAGTACTTTCTTCTCGATTTCGTATCAAATGTTATTGCTGTTCATCAAGAGCAATCAACATATTTTATTTCAAAATTAGAGGGATTCAGTTTTTACAATCTCTCTTTTTTTACAAGTAGTGTCAAAAATCAACTGTTTCATGGTTCTTCCAATATATTAGGATAGTTTGATAATGCAATAGTCTACGTACATGTGTTTGAACCCATTATGTTAGAATAATTAAAACATACATATAAATAAAACAATAATAAATGGCTTTTTTGAATATTTTTATCTTGATACTATTCAGCAGGATATAGAAGAGGACTTCTCATCATTAAATGATACTTATTTTCTTATACAATGACTATCGCCAGATACCTGTAGACCTGGTACATTTTCTAAAACGGGCCTCAAACCATGTCTCAGATGCCCGTATAACCACTACCAAGATCAAGAAGGAGCAACATTCTGTAATCGATGCCCGGAAGGCAAAGTAACATCATCTGTTGGAAGTGAAAATATCTCTTTATGTGAAGGTACAGTACATGTGTATGTTCCAATACTGCTTTTTTATATTTGTTATTGTAAAATGATTCATAAGCAAAAGATCAGTATCTTTCCTTAATTTAAAATGGATTTTAAAAAGGTAATTTTTTTTAACTAAGCGGAGACAAATTTCGTCCAAGCTGTAACAAATGTAAATTCTGATTAACTTTAGTTTAAGATACTCTATTACTAGATATGGGCATACTCCTTAAGAGAGAAGAAACACTTTATCTGGGGCGTATAAAAGGCACCAATCAACTTACCTACGTAACCTGGTTTAAATTTGGAAATGAATCGCTAAATTTGACTTTTTCGGGCATCGTCACCGAATAGGAGCATCGAATTTCGTTTACAAGATCAACGTATTTACTTTATTATTGATAGGTAGATTTTTTTTCTCTTTTTGTTGATTTCTGTAAAATATTTTTTTTTTTTCAGTTTTCATCTCTATTTTGTTTTATTAACTTGTAGTTGGTAATTTTTTTTTCTTTATGCTAAATTTACATGTATTTCTTTTAGAAATAATGTTTCCACTCAATTGATTAATATGTCTAACCAGTGGAACCACGTGACTGTGATGCTGTCAGAAGACGCTTCCCATATACGACTTTACAATAGGCGTCGTCTACAGATGGATAAGATACTCAGTTTGACGTCACATTTTTATATATCAGATCAGGCTAACGTGGAGTTAGAACTAACATCAGGAAATGGTAAGAAAAGTTGTAAATGTATTAATTTTGTGAATTTTAATAAGCACAAAAAACATACTAGTACATGTATAATACAATTCTTTATATTCTGTTTATATTCAAAATATGTAAAAGAAACCTTAAGTTCATTTAAGGAATGAATTTATTAGCTACCCAATTTATACGGTATAAAGTGGGTTGAGACAGTTTACGCTATATAAACCGCGAAGCGGTTTATAAAAAAGCGTAAACTGTTCCAACCCAATTTATACCGTATAAATTGGGTAGCTATTAATTTCATTCCTTATAATTTAATTTTCATTCATTTAGTTTAAGAAAAAAGATACGTTTTTGACGTAGGCAGCCCAATTTATAAGATATAAAGTAAATTTGTTATCCAATCAAATGGCGCGTTACAATCAGAATAATATTATATTGCAATTAAACTATATGGTTCTATTATTTCATGTTTTGACTTACACAAATTGAACAGAAAAAAGTTCATTAATTGACAAACATTTTACTTCTAGATGTAATCCTTTCCGGTCTGCAGTTTACAGATAGACTAATTCAAGATGACGAAAAATCTTCAATTCAAAGGTGTAACAGTTCGCTAAGTTTGGTGATTTTCAATATGAGGAACTTGTCAGAACGCATAACGAACAACCCTTCCGTTCGCAAAATCATCCCAAGTTCATGTTTTGGTAAGCTTTATCATTATATTATATGAGAGAAAATATAAGTTGTGAAATATAAATTGCATTCATTATGACGCAATGTTTTAATTACAGATAAGGATGAATGTGATCCAAATCCTTGTAATGGTCATCCCTGCTCAAATGAAGCTGGAGGTTATTTTTGCAACTGCCTTTCTGGATTTAAAGGAAATATGTGCCAAACTCCACCAAACTTTTGTTCCTCCGGTCCATGTTTTAACAATGGAACTTGTGAAAATTCGAACACCTCATTCAATTGTTTATGTAACAAGCATTATACCGGAATAAGATGTGAAAATGCAATGAGTAAGTTAATATATTCATACAACACTTTGAACTTGTATGAAGCGCAAAATCAAATACATTTAAGGCATTCTAACATATTTTCAAAAATCGTATCCTGTAGAAGTATTAATGTGAAAATGAATCATTTTGTGGATTGATTGTCCTCGATAAAGATGTATTGCGAATGGTGTTGTTTAAGCAGTAAAATAAAACAAAAAAATATTGAGCCTCAATGACTCTTATTATTTATATTTAAGTTCAAATACGGTTAATTCTTTGCAAAAACAAATAATAACCTCATCCCTCATCATTTCAGTTGACGGTGGATGGAACAACTGGGGGTTCTGGTCAACTTGCTCAAAATCATGCGAGTCTGGGACGAGAAAACGAAAGAGATCATGTAATAATCCTCTGCCATCTCAGGATGGAAAACTGTGTGATAGATCGGAGGCTGAAGAACTTCAGGATTGCAATACAGATAAATGTCCCGGTATGATCATGATGAATTTAGAAATATATATAGCTTAATGTATCTGCATCGCATGCAAATTGAGTACTTAATATACACCATATTGTTATAGAATGCCCTCCCTTTAAAGCTGGAAATAACTCAGTTGTGGATTGCTTTGAGAACAGTACTCGACAGATAACGTGTTTTCTTTCATGTGAGGAGGGTTATTCATTCCATACGGGACTGCAATCAAATATAACATATGTGTGTGGATCGGAAACCTCATTTAAATGGAATGGAAGCAAAATTCTTCCAGCATGTGGACGTTAGTACTTTTATTCTATTATTTAATATGTTTTATTTTGTATTATTCAATCAAGCAAACTTTTGCCAATCCATGCATCGTTTTAACATCATTAATTTATGAATGCAGGTGTCCAGATACCAAAGGAGCTGAAAGCAAGCACGGATTTTAATTATGACAAAGCACTTAAATGTTCCAGAATGCAAGAAATAACGGATATCATTAAAGAGAAAACAAAAGAAACCGTAAGATGCGTAATGAATAAAACGTGCGATTCAGAAATCACACTGGAAGGTATTCAATGTACAATATTTCGATATTTATTTCCTAAAATAAAATATTTTATGTTATATTGTACAATCAATACGATTGATTGCAATAGACATGACCCCCTTCACTTCAGTGTGTATAATAAATATTTCCAAATAACAAGTAGGTGCACTCTAGGTGTTGACAGTTATGTTATCAATATTCCTTGTTTGTTCATTTACGTTAAGGAATAGAAGGATCTTGAATAATTGAGGAAAACTCCAAAGAAGCCTTTTGTTTATGTTAATCCCTACATATATCTAGGTTCTAACATATTTCATTTCATGTGTTAAACAATTTATTTTGCAAAATTGTACTGCTACACAAAAAACATTTATAAATAATGCTTACAAGTCCCTCCTTCTTTCTCGGTGAAAAATGCTAATACACAGTTACTCGGAATTTTGTTGACAAGTTTTTTGTTGCATTTTTTTTGATGTACAGAATTTTGGAAATATCGCAGATGAAGAATATGTCATATTAAAAACTAATGCCAAATGAATTTTGTGGTTTAATATCAACACATAAATTAATGGTTGACATCAATATTTTTAAAAACATTATAAAGATAGATTATTTAGAATTACCTATTACAATTATTCAAAAAGAATAAAGCGATGTGGTATTGATGGTCTTAGGGAATTTCTTTTTCTCGTTCTCAAGTTTGTTTCTCTGTAGGGATTTTGGTATAGTATATCACCTATTACAAAAATATTATAATATATATATAAAAGAAAAATCCAAAAAATCATCTTATGATAGATTAGTTCTTATGATATTATTTTATTATTTTCTGTAAAAAGATTGCACGGCAAACAGGAATGAAGAGGAAACAAGAAAAGCAAAACTTGTGTTGTCTCGTAAAATAAGAGCAACTGCAACTAGTGAGTATTTCAACAGTGCAAATTTGTGTCTAACAAAACGGATAAAACTTAAGAAGTATTTTCAAGTTAGCTTGATTTAAATTAAAATCTATTCAAAAGATCAGCTAAGTTAGATCAACTGAGACACTATGATTGCCTTTATTGTGAATTGTGAAATATAGTAACCCCCCCCCCCCCCCCCCCCGATCAGAGTCTCTGGGGGTCGGGCGTGGATTTATTGATCACATAATGAAAATAAATAAAGTTCTTTTGAAAAAGAGTTCTTCTTCCAAATGCATAGCCCTTGAGACAGGATTCTGGAATTACGCTGGGGCTCTATTATGATCAAGTATGGGAGTATAACTCTGCTCAAGGAAAAGTTAGTTCCCTTTAATTTTTGTAATTGTTAGGTAATTTAATAAAAAGATTTTTTTATGTATAATACAAAAATTAATTTCATAGTTTTTGATAGTCCGGTAGACTTATAAATGATAAATGAATAAAAATGATACAAAAATGCCAAATATCAGAATGTCTGTCAAACTTATTTTTAGCAATTTCAAAACTCTTTTTACTTATTTCAGTAGATGATAATGGAGAAGATTATGCAACTACTTTCTACGAACTTGAGTTTTCACTACAAGAAATAAATAACACCGAAGGAATTCTTTCTTTTAAAATGGATGGCGAAACTTACCGTTCACTCGGATCATCCATTGAACCACAGATCGTGTGTGAAGAAGGCCAAGGTGTCATTCAAGGATTGTGCAGTAAGTTAACAGATAAAGGGATTGTGCAGTAAGTTAACAGATAAAGGGATTTGCAGATTTACATTTTTTCGAATGTGTTAAAATTCCACTTTCAGAGAGAGAAGATTTTTCTGGGGAGAAAAAGTGATTAAATGTATCAATATCATTTATTTTATCTAGTGGATTGTCCTGCTGGCACCTACACAGGGAAAAGTGGCTCGCATGTATTTCATATGAAATTCGCACAAATATCATGCGAATTCTTTGCATGAGAAGGAGACGAAAAGGACCACGCATGATATTCGCATGAAAATATCATGCAATTTTCACATGAAATTCGCACGAATAGCATGCGAAAAGAAATTCATGCGAAATTCATGTGAAAAAAGAACCCAGGTTTCATATGAATATCATGCGAAGACAAGCATATTTTTCGTACCCCAGAAATTAATATCAAGCCATTATCTATGAGTGCCGCCCAAAGCTCAATCCATTAATTCTATTGTTCTTCCTTGGAAACAGAATTTTTGCTTCTTGCAAATGAATTTTCCTTGAACATATAGTACCATGGATTTAATATCTTCTCTTTTTCTTACTTAGTCAGTTAATCCAGATACAAGTAATGCATGATTATACAAAAAGTAACTTTGAATTTGAAAGAATCAAAACTTGTTTTCTGGACTCCCTGACTAAATAAAGACATTTGTGACATTAATTTCTACATTGAAAACTAAAATCATTGATCTTTTTCTATCTTCTTTATTGAGGTTCTCTTCACATAAGATTTCTTTATCTTGAGGATTCTTTTAAGAGGGTGTTGTCTTTATACCTGAAAATACAAAAGTAAACAATCTCAGGTTATTGAAATTCATAATGGACAATATTTTTTTTAAAATCAATTATGACTACCCTTGGTCTTTAAGTAGGATCAATACCTCTTGGTCATAATCACCTGTATGCCAAGTATGTTCTCCAGATACTACTCCAATAAAAAATTGTATTTTCTGAGATACTTCTATCAAATCTATGAACTTGATCTTGTCTTATGACCTCTGTTCTGGAAATGGCATATCTTATGATCATAATCAACCATTAGGGCAGTATGATCTTTGGCAGTTACTTTTTTTCAATATACAATTATATAATTATGTTATATGGCCAAGAATTTAAACTTGAATTCCTGTGACCTTTACATTGCTTAAATGACCAACATGCAGGGTTGTTTCACTGCCTCTAGTCATAATTAAGCAACCTTTGTATTTACTATATATCCTCATAAAAGTTATGATTATTTTATTTTTTAAAAACATATCTAGTTCAAATTACCCTATGTAAGACTTGGGATATAACTTTGAGTCACAAGCAAATTTTGTCTCAGGATTGTCTACTGTGTTTCCATTAAAGAGTTGTGATTGAAAAATAATTTAATACATTTGTACCCTTTTGATCTTGAACATATCTAAAATGCCCTTGGTACTGAGTCAACTGGCTCATCTCTGGACACAAGCTACCTTTCTATCAGTTATGAGCCTCAGATTGTTTTCTTGGTTACAAAGTCATGTTCAAGTAAGAATTTAATTCTCTTATTCCTCTTTTTAAAAGTTTGACAAATCAGTCTGTAAATTCCTGTTACCAGTTAGTTCAATGGTATATAATTACAAAGTGTAGGGAAAAACAAGGTGTGTTTCTGAAACACTGATGCCCCCATATGGCAGCTTGTGGCAAAGGTTATAGTTTCTCAAATGCAAGTCAAACTTCAAGGTTGAGAGATCAAAAATGCCCAAGCACCAACCATTCAACAGTTATGGTTAAGGTTAATGTTTTCTAAAAGTGGGCCAAACTCCAAGGTCAAGGTCAAAGGGTCAAAATTAATGGTATTCAGGGGGAAGACCTTGTCATAAGAAATATACATGCAGCATATAAAAGCCCTAGCACCAACAGTTCAGAAGTTATGGTCAAGGTTAAAGTTTTTCAAAAGTAGGTCAAACTCCAAGGGCAAGGTCAAAATTGTTGATATCCAAAGGAAGGTCTTGTCACAAGGAATACACCTGTGAAACTTGAAAGCCCTAGTACTAACTATTCAAAAGTTATGGCCAAGGTTAAAGTTTTTTAAAAGTGGGTCAAAAGTTATGGCCAAGGTTAAAGTTTTTTAAAAGTGGGTCAAACTCTAAGGTCAAGGTCAAAAAGTCAAAAATATTTACACCCAAGGAAAGGTCTTCTCAGGATAAATATACATGTGAAATCTGAAACCCCTAGCACCAACTGTTCAAAAGTTATGGCCAAGGTTAAAGTTGGGTAAATTTTTACAAAAGTGGGTCAAACTCCAAGGTCAAGGTCAAATACGTTGGTACCAAAAGGAAGGTCTAGTCAATAAATACACATGTGAAATATGGACGGACGGGGCAAAAACTTATATACCCACGACTCTTTGATTACCAGGGCATTATTATAAAGTGGTTTAAAAGATAATTTCCAGACAAAACATGTCTACAGACAGACAAACAGACATGGTGATTCCAGGACACCCTTACAACTTCTTTGTAGGAGCTAGTATATAACTTCATTGTAGGGGCAAAAAAGTTTTAGCTTTTACCAATAATATATGGCCCAGTGATCTTGACTTTTGAGATAATTCAATGTTTTACTATACCCACATCACTGTTTTCGTTATCCCTAAATGCTCTCCCATTGGAAAATGGTTAGTCTGTACATTTCTGTTAAAACTTGAATTTCCTTAATCTGAGACTTAAACAAAACATGAGTTGTGCTAACTGGCCAAGTTGCAATGGTTAAAATTGGCATTTAGGTGTGATTCTAGAGAATGTAATACGTACGTCTGGAAAGTGCAAAAGTTTACAACAACAGACAGACAAGTTTTGACAGTAAAAAGCTTACTAAAGCTTCTGGCTTAGATGGAATAATTAAATTAAATATGTTCAGCTTAATGTCAAATTTAAATTGTCGAAAGAAAAAAAATCATACATGTATTTACTTACATATACCATTGACAAATCTGTTTGCATGTATCTTCTGAGGATATAGGTTCTCTGGTATTTGAAGCTGTGATGACATGCTAACTGTGCCTACAGTGAAAATTAAAAAATGTCAGATACTGTCAATTCAATAGCATTTGGTTAATTATCTCCTTAGTACTACTGCATTTTTATGCATTTATTCTATAAATTAGCAGAATATATTTAAGAATTAGATAAGCAGAAATAACCTGAATGCTTATGGTTCTGCTAGTCTGATTCAAATAATTCACAGGAAAAAAAAATCCTGCTTTTCTGCAGCCTTATCCTGATTTTCTGCAACTATATTTTTGCTTTTCTCTGTTTGATCTTCTATTATGGCCCCACCCTACCCCCAGGGGACATGGTTTGAACAAATATGAATATACCTAACCTTACCTGAGGATGCTTCTGAATTGATATGGCTAATCATGGATTTGCAATTCTTTGGAAGAAGATTTTTAATGATTTCTCCTATGTATTCTCATTTTAAACTTTGATCACCAATTATGGCCCCTCCCTACCCCTAAGGGGACATGATTTGAACAACCTTGAATGTAAACTATCAAGGATACTTCCATATAAATATGTCTAATCACTGCTTAACTGTTCTTGAGAAGAAGATTTTTCACATGTATGCCTAACATAAAAATTTGATCACCCATTTAGGCCCTCCCAACCCCCAGGGGTAATGAATTGAACAAACTTTAATCTATACTACCTGACAATGCTTTCATATAGATATGACCAATCATGGCTTTGCTGTTCTTGAGAAGGAGATTTTTAAAGATTTTTTCTATACACTGTATATTTATTTCTATGTAAAAATTTGTTCACTCATTGTGATCCCACCCTAGCCCCGGAGGTCATGGTTTGAACAAACTTGAATCTACACTACTTAAGGATGCTTCTTCATAAAAATCACCAATCATGGCTTAACTGTTCCTGAAAAGAAGAAATTTTAAAGATTTTTCATGTTTTCCTATGTAAAACTTTGATCACCCACTGTGGCCCCACCCTATCCCAAGGGGTCATGATTTGAACAAACTTGAATCTACATTATGTCAGAAAGCTTTCACATAAGTTTCATCTTTCTGACCCAGTGGTTCTTGAGAAGAAGATTTTTAAATATCCACACCCAATTTTTACTATTTCTTACTTATCTCCCCTTGGAAAGAGGGTATGGCCCTTCATTTGAACAAATTTGAAACCCCTTTACCATAAAGGATACTCTGTATTAAGTTTGGTTGAAATTGGCCCAGTGGTGGAGAAGAAGATGAAAATGTGTCGTGAAAAGTTTATGACAACAATGACAGACGACAGACAAATTTTGATCAGAGAAGCTCCCTTGAGCCTTTGGCTCAGGTGAGCTTAAAACCAATCATGGAAAAGCAGCATGGAGTAGTCGCAGAAAAGCAGACAGGTTGCAAAAATAAGATGGGGGGAAAAGTATGTCAGCCACTTGATCATATAAATAACAACATTATTTATATATATATATTGATGTATACCTTTGCAATAAATATTTTATTCTAGATTTTTCTTACCTGTTTGCATGTAACATATATGTATAATCTTTGAGAAGCTATCAGTGTGGTATAGTGGGGGACCATCTGCTCATTTTCTAGCAAATACCTGCAAGATAAGAATACAACATTTTAGTAAACATTTCTCAAACATGTCATTTATAAGTAAACACAAAATAGAATATACAGTACAACTCATTTACAGGGAAGTTACTCGGACTTGCTGTCTTATAATTAAGCTTCTTTATATATCTGCATGTATTTTGGAATGCATAAAAGTTTAACTCCTAAAACAACTGAGATTTACCTCTTTTTATGAGAACTGAGTTCTGTTGTATTTTCAATTTAAAATGCATAGATATGTTTACAGTGGCATTAGTGCTCCTAAATAAATACTTTTTATCTCTAGCTCAATCAGAAACCAATTGATTTATTAGCTATATTACATTACCGCTTTTATTAATATTGCAAACAGAGCGTCAAACTTCAAACTCGATGAATTATAAACATTTTTTATATCTATCCCCATTTATAATTAACCTCCTAGTGTTTTTAAAACACTGAATTTATCACAGCACACCCCAATGCCTGCCCTGGTGGCAAAAAGATCAAAGAAAACATTATTCTTTTCACTCTTTAAGTCTTGACCTTTTGGTTAAGTGATTATAGCGGATTGTACCACATAGGAAGAAAAGAAGACCCCACAAAGGGACACAACTCATTTACTATTTGCAAACTAGTGAACATGAACTACAGTGTATCTAAACAGATGTGCCCCCACTGTGCATGTCATTAGTACATTGTAGTAATTATATAAATATCATGGTTCTATATAGAGAGAGAGAGTAACCTCTTTGTGATTATACATGTACATTTACAAATTAATGTTTTGATTGGTGGTGATGGGTGAATGTGAGGTGTAAAGCAGAGTTTGGAGAGGAAGAAATAGGGAAGGTCGGAGTCAGACAGAGGAATATAAAGGAAATTCAAAATAGTAGAGTTGAAGGGATGGGAGCTAGGAGAAGGATAAATTAAAGACCCACCCCACTTTTTTCCAGGCCACCCATCCATTATGTATCTATTTTTAGAACAAAATGATTGACTTACAGTCTGATTAAAAAAAAAAATTAGGTATATCCTAATATACATGTATAACTTTACAGTGCTGTATAATGCTTGGTGAGGTTTACACCAGACCCAGGTGCAACAGGCAAAGAGTGCCTGTGCCAGGTCCATCTTATTTCAACATATCTATTTATTAAGCTGTCAGCATACATGTATATTGCCAATAAATTATATTACATTTATCTGGTGATAAAGGAGATGATAAAAATATGACAAACTTACAGAAAATATGCAGTTGAATTTACTCTGCTCTTTCTTGTCTGCTTTCTCAGCCGCATCATGACGTAATATGTGACGTACGGCATTCCATAAAAAAACTACTTTTGGTTTCGTAAAATAAGTGTATACCCCGACCCCGTAGTCATCAAAGTTCCGACTTCGACGCGGAAATAAATTTTCAAAATAAAGATTTAAAGGACAAAAATTATAGTTATTTAGATATTTCCCGATTCTGTGATGAATACGAAATGGACTGGCAGATTTAGCCAGGTTCTACTTGCACTTCCTGTTACTGAAAAAAAAAACACGAGTGTACCCTCCTGTGGCTTGTTCCAGAGTTTCCTTTGGGATTTATGTGCTCTAATCCCTTGAAACGACGGTGAATATGTATGTACTCTTAATCGTTTGTCATATTTTGTGTTTAAAATGTAGATTCTTATTGTTATTCATTTTGCAACGAAAATTTTCAGAGTAAATTCGGATCTCGTTTTCGTTTCAGGTTCAACAGTTCAACGTAACACGACCAGGTGAATCGAATGGTTCCGTTTCATCGAAGTCATAATGAAGTTATGCATTTTTTATGCTAAGCGACATTTATTTGAAGGCTTTACTAAATTTGAGTAAGTAATTAACATTAAAAGTGATTTTTAATTGTGTTGTTCATGTGCAGAGACTTGTAAACACGACTTTTACAGTGTATCACACAAAATATTTTAGGACGCAGGTCCCACAAAAGATCCAATTTTCTTGGGGATTAATCTCACAAATGTGAGGGTTATGAATGAAAAAAATTCCTTGTAATAATTAAACTGTTGCATTTGATATATTCTAATTATTTTATGCAGATTAAAAAAAATCCATCTTTTCAGCATTATAATGTCTGTAAAACTCAAAAATCCAGTTGGAATATCATAACTAAAATGGACTATTATATCTAATTTGGACAATAGGTTCCAATAACAACCTTATACAGTGTTTTCTCTTTATTTCAAAGTAAAGCATTAGAGATCAATTGTATCTGGCTTTGGGTTGATGTTTATGACAAATCTCTGTGGACCTTACAACAATTAAATTTTATTTTATTTTATTTTTTTATTTCAAAGCGGCATTTTTATCAATTGAAGCGATTAATTTGGCCGGTAGCTGGTTCTTAGGGAAATCACTACTTATATAGAGAGTTGCATGGTCAATAACATGTTCTGATGTCTGACATAAAAAAAAAATTATGCCTCTATTGTGCAGTTATTAATGTACAAAACACAGGGTCTTCTGTTTTGCTCAAAACATGAAATACCAGTGCAGTTTAACATAAACAAGTTGACAAAACATGGACCTTTCAGGTGATAACATGGAATTTATTGTATGTAATGACAGATCCTATTCAGTAATTATAGGAGTTAGCCCCTTTGACTGAAACAATTGGAATATCAGTATGGGTAGTTAATAAAAAATTTTATGATTTAATTTCTTTGTAGGAAATGCTTGTCAGGACAAAAGACTGAAAAAGACTGAAAAACTGCCTTTAAACACAGCCATCATTAATGTAAATGGATTCATAAGGAGCATCCAAACAATATGATATTAGGAACATCAGAGACTGGCAATTTTTTACCACTCACTGTGATAGATGCATCTAAATAAACATTGAAATGTTAAATTTTTTTGTTCATTGCTTTTCCTCATATGGTATTAATATTGCATAACATTCTTGTGAATATCGCACGATTTTCACACGAAAAACAGACAAAGTGGAATTTGCATGGATATCATGCGAAATTTTAGTCGCATGAAAATCGCATGAATTTCGCATGAAATTTGTGTGATAACATTCGCATGAAATTCGCATGTGGGACTTTTCGCATGATTTTTGTATGATTTTCGCATAAATTTCATGCAAAAAGGCAAACGCATGAAAATCATGCGAGCCACTTTTCCCTGTGTATTCATCCTTAAGTCAATGTCTCTTATGTGATTCTGGTTTGTACCAAGATACACCTAGAACAGATTTTTGTAAATCATGCCCTGAGGGATATACATCGGCTGGTTATGGCGCTACAAAATTGGAAGATTGCTCAGGTTTGTTCCATTAATTTGTGTTTTCAAGGTATGGTGCATTTTCGAGTGAAAATACTGCTTTCATTGAAAAAGAAGCTCACAAGTAGTCATAATGTCATAAATCTGCAGTATTATTTATCATAATAACTTTCTCAACATTTTTGTTTTATTTTAATGGAATATATGAACATCAAATAATTCATATTTTCGTCTTTAATCATAAATATTTTAGTGTATATCTTTGTATTTTAGAGGCACAAGCCTTTGCTGTTTCAACGCAAAAAATTGACATCAAAGATGGTAATAGTCATGCATTGTTTCTGTGAATAGTTTATATAAATATTAAAGAAAAACTTATGTCCTCCCTTTATATGGTTTTTTTTTGTTACAGATTGACCTAGGTATTCAGATTTGAAAACAAAACTTAACAAAATAAGTAATACTAGAGCCAAATACTTTGAGCTATTGCACACTTATCACTATGATTTTCATAGAAAATACACACCAAATACACACTAACTGATATTAAAACTTGAAAAAGAGAAGGAAATATAGACCAAAAATGTTTTCCTCATCTCTGTTAATTTCATTATATTTTATGTAAGAAAACTAGTAATTGACTTTCCAATTTCAATAAAAAATTAGTTGACTGGTGACTAAGTACTGTATAGCGTGGTAGTCGGTCAAGGAGAGTGAAAGCCTTAATTAACTCATGTGAATAAAACTGTAATAAAGGGGTACCATGAAGGGTGTTCGAATGAAAGGTCCTTTACAGGGTAACTAGATAATATTTTGAACAATATATGATGAAACAGAATAATATATAAATGTGGCATAAATTCAGTATAGTGTATTAACTATATATATTTTGCCTATACTTTCCTTTTCTTTAACAGAGACAACGTCCTTTGGTGTACCATTCCTCTATTTTGCTATTGGTATAGCTGCTATTTTGGTGATTGGCATTGTCATAACAACGATTTACTGCATATATAAAAAGAGGTAAATATTTTTTCGTAGACAGGCATCTCATGCGATATTTTATTATTTTCAATCTATACAGCTTTACTTTTTATTTTATTATTATTTCTATACGAAAGGAAAAGGACTACATACGATTTGAACAAAGAATAAAATGGAGTGAATATTCACGATAAAGTACCCCTTATACCCTGTGTTGCTTCTCATCATTAGAATGGCGTGAGTAGAAACTGTATTTTCATCAATATACAATTCTTGAAGGCTTATTTAATTATGTAAATTGGAATAAATCACATATATAAAGTATATCACATGATGTTTACATTAAAGTTGTAAAGAACTGCGAACGATAACATTGTTCTCCCGCCTACATCCAAGTCATTTTCAAAAGTTAACACATTCGAATGATTTTTCATATTTATATAGATATTTATAGGAATTTTCATAAAACATTACTTTTTGGGAAAATAAAGAGAGTTAACTCTATAATTTGGGTAAAACTTGTGTTTTCACTATAGAAATCAACGGAAAACTGAAAATATTTTTAAAACATCATCCCCCCCCCCCCATGAAACAAAAATTCCTTTCTACAGGTAATATGGACTGCCATTTCACAAATTCATACCAAAGCTTTTTGTGTTTCACGGGGGGGGGGGGGACATATATTTACAAACAATAAACTTCAAAAATACTTATTTTCTCACCAATTTCAAAGGGTTTTACAACTAAAACATTGTATTTTATTAATAATATATGATTAATTTTATATGCGTAAAACATAAAAGATTTAAGGAATATTTTTTCATATCCAAGACTATTTAAAAGTGTGTTGATTCTTTAAAGCCCGATTTCAATGGAAAATATCGTCTACCCCACTTATTTAAAGAGCTGCAATTATGGGTAATTAACTATTTGACACTGGCATTAAAATTATCAGTCAATTATCATTGAACTGTTCTTTGCATTCAACAAAGATTGTGCGGCCAAATTCCCATTAGTATTGAATTAAATGGGTGTTAAATGTAGGCGGGAATCGAGAGTTAGTGTGCGTAGTTCTTTGATAACTAAATTCTAAAAAGATTTATTACATGTATAATGTTTAAAAACAAGAACAAAAAAACCTTGGAAAGGATTATACTTATAATTTTATATATATATATATATATATATATATATATATATATATATATATATATATATATATATATATGGAAACACAGAGGAAAAGATTGTCTATTTAAGATTTTCATACACAAGATTAATCTGACACAGATGCATGAATTATGTAAATTTCGTAGAAAGGCAGTGTTTTCTGAAAGAAAATTCGATGTTTTCTGAAAGAAAATATGCCTATGATTTAATGAAAAGTTAAATTGAGAAAATTCAGAAATCAACCAACATTTTCTTTAAGAGTGACCAAGTTGAATTTACAGGGTAGCTCGAACCATTTCCAATTTACTGAAAATGTTTTGGTGACTAAGCTTGCATTCATGATGTATCCAGGGATGTAAGCTGTTAGACTTCTTTCGGATTCTGAATCTGAGCTAAATTTTACATATGATTAAACATTTGGAGGGGTGAATTCCCAAGGAACTATAAGCTTTATCTCGACAAAAAGAGTTTTTGAAGAGGTTTATTCCCAGGTTACTGTAAGTTCCATGCCAACCAAACTTGCATGAAAAATGATATAAGGTGTTAACACTGACAGACTGCCTGACAGGGCTCGGATGCTGAATCTTACATTATATTCCTGGTTTTTGAAGTGAGAAAGCTTTTGAAGTATTTTTTCTCAAGTAAATAAAATTCCTACCAAGACCAGTAAAGACTTGGCTAAATATTGCTTCTAGGGATGCGCACTGTTTGAACATTGTTTAGTGTAGAGCTAAATTAATGATAACATTAGTTGAGGACAGCTGTGTAATCTTTGATTTCATATGTTTATTTTACAATTGTTCATTTTTCAAATATACATAAGTGTTTGATATTGTTTATATAATTAGGGCTTATTATACAATATCTCATT